ACTCGAGCGTTGCGGTGTTTGGGTGTAATGTACACGATTTTAATTTTCATTCCTTGGTACTTTATTTTTGAATAAGATGCTCCACTTGGCCTCGTTTTGGCTACAATAGTTTAATAATTTGTTATTACGATTACTCATTATCATTAATGAAATAATAGTCAGAAGGCTTATTAATATGTAATAATATGTATACTAAGCCTGAAGCCTTACTACGACGGCCATCTTGGAAGGTACACATACATAACTCTGCATTGCTGCGTCATTTTGTCAGCACTCTAGTTGTTTAATAGCTCTATGTCCAAGACCAACTTTTTCGGATTCGCAAGCGAATTCGCGGCCGTTGGACCAATCGCAAGGCTTAGATTCAATTTATGTCAAAGGTCAACAATAAAGTCACGACCATTGTCAAAACAATGTACAGATACAGATGTGCGGGCGATGACAGACGAATCCGTTTCATGCAAACACTGTGGAACAGTCCTAGGCTACCCTTGTTTAGTTCTGTGACAAGGGAGCAAAGAAAATACAGTATGTGACAATGCGTGGAAAAGGATTTGCAGAGACGAGTAATTGATGGCTCGCTGGCTCACACTTGCGATGTCTCGATCAAATAACACACTGGCTCGCACTTTGGCAACACTCGCCCCTAGAAAACCCGCCCTTGGAAACTTCCGCCATAAAAAAATGTACGTCACTTCCTAGACCATGCAGTCTTCAAAATAAAAATTGTAACCTTTGGTAATCAACTACATTTTCCACATACATAGACATTTTTGAAACTTTATTAAAAAAAACCTAAACCATAATTCACCACTATAGAGACTTCTTGACAAAAATGAAAAATTACGACTTTGTTACCCAATGAGAAGTGTTCTAATATAGACAATGGGTCATGTTGTTATATTTTTATTATTCATTATTTTCACTTGACTCGCATAAATAATTTTGTTCGAAGAACATTATGCAGTTGTACTTCGCAGCACTTCACTTGCAATTTGCAATTTCTAGTAGTAATTATTTTTTTTTGAAAGAAATATTGAAAAAAAATTGCTACCTTCAATTTCTATGGGCCCCCTGCTAAGCTTGGGCCACTGGGACCTATCCCTCTGCCCGCTCTCGGTGGCCCTTGACCTTTCCCCCTGCCGAACTCTCGGGGCCCTGAACAGCAGAGGAAAAACAGTCTTTCCATGACGTAGCAAGTGCGTGTAGTCCAACAGCAATATATATTTCACAAAACTGTATAGAGGCCGGGTATCACTGTTAAAATAAATCACAAGAGTCATAAACGTGTTATACTATAGGGTTGCAGAGAAAATCTTCCGACTTCGTGATTAGAAAAATATTTGCAGGCAACAATAACATCAATAATAATATGATGATGATGATGATGATGATGATGATGATGATGATGATGATGATGATGTTAATAATTGAGAATATATAGCGCAAATTATAAACAATGTTAAAATCAAATGCGCTATAGACTGGAAGTTACGATGTTTCCTTTAAAAAAAATAATATTTTAATTAATTTTATAAATTATTTTTTAAAAGATTGCCTTTGTCGATATAGTACGATAGGCCTAGATTATTTATCATTTTAATTTTTTTTATTTATCATTTTTAAATCACCAAGTCGAAGATGTTTCTATCTGCAACCCCATCATAAAACGTTTAGGTCTAGGAACTCTACCAACCATGTCATGGAAAGACAATTTTTCCTCTCCAGTGTATTTTTTTTTTACTTGTTAAAAAATATGCGAATAAAGAGTAGTAATTCATTTATTTATTGTTAAATCGTGATAAGTTTAAGAACTAGTTGAACTACTGTTGACACGATATAAGTTCATTACAGTATAAAAAAGTTATGTTTTTTATGGCATGACAAGGTTTGTCTTGTCGTTTTGTATTATTGTTTGTAATGTTTAATTGGTGAAATAAATTAAATGAATGATTGTTGCTTTCGAACAGTTTCTGTGCTGTGGTTTCATATCAAAACCTGTCAAAACAAACAAGCAGTACAGCACAGCACGGCACATGTGTCGCCTTCCTTCGACCTTTCATTTTGTTTGGCCAATCAGAACATGGTTGACGTCATTGAGCAAGCTGAGATAGTTGTGGCATATCGGCCACTTACCAGTGCTAGTTATTTGAAGGTGTTCTGTGTGTTCTATAGTGTTTTAGTATACTTTAACGGCTAAGATTGAGGACCTGGTGGCCTAGACACAATGTAGGCTTCTCTTTGGGCGACACCGTCGGACCTGGTGTTGGCCTAGACACATTGATATACTATACCGTTACGTAAAGTAGTTTTCTTGGCCTACCACCAGCCTACCGTCAAGCAATAAAAATCAACATTTGTGGAATTATTTTCCAAGAAATGATGGTTAAAAATTCTGGACACATAGATATACAGCATGTGATGGACAGACGAACCTAATGGTTGGCGGGGCAGCAGTGATGGACGGACGAACCTAGGGTTGGCGGGGGGACGGGAGTTCATCAAATTAATGATGTTTTGGAAAAATGGTCAGAAAATACAACATCTGATGGACAGTCCCGGGTAGGGGAGAACCTTAAAATTATGGACACAAATTTACAGCATAGCTTCATCAAATGGTGTTTGGGAAAATAATGGTTAGAAAATACAGCATCTGATGGACAGTCCCGGGTGGGACCTTAAAATTATGGATACATAAATTTACAGCATGTGATGGACTGACCATTATACACATATACAGCATGTGATGGAGGCATATATCTGATGGACAGTCCCGGGTGGGGGAGAACCTTAAAATTATGGACACATAAATTTACAGCATAGATTCATCAAAATGAGGTTTGGGAAAATAATGGTTAGAAAATACAGCATCTGATGGACATTCCCGGGT